TGTGTGTGTGTGTGTGTGTGTGTGTGTGTGTGTGTACAGGGAAATAATTCCACGTTGATGTCATAAGTTTATTTTTATGACAATTTAATCATTGTTTTCAGTACAAAACTTATCTCCATCTCTTGGGTTGAGTGTAAAAACTCTTTGTTTTGGCAAACAGCAAGTGTGGTAAAATTGAAAACCCTTGAAAGGTCAAGGATCATATTTTAAATGTGATTTTAATGACGCAGCACTGGGGTTGAGTTGAATCCAGTGTGCTAAGCATGTCCTGGGTGGTTGGTTGATAACAGGTGTTGATGGCATGTAGCACCTGGAGGATTTGAGCTCCAAATAAGAGAAATTACAGGAGATGGAGGGGACAGGTTGCTAGCCTGCTATGTTAGTAAAAATGCTGGATCTGCCTCTTACAGCATCTTCAATTAAAAAAGAAGGAAGGCTGGGAAAAACTAAAATTATTCTGGAAATAGTTTTTTTAGGATGAGGAGAGGCACTGTATAAAAAAATCTCTAAAGAATAATTTTTAAATCTTTAAAAATAAGACAAACAAAAAACCCTGCTCAGATTTATTACTCTGAATAAAATGTTTGTCTGCCAGCCAGCCACCTTCTTACTTGTTATCTGAATGTACCCTGTACTGAAACTTTTATTCCCTGAACAGCTTGTACATTGTCTGTTTTCCAGTTTTGTTTTAGACACAATGTCCGCTCCAGCATCCCATCTGCCAGCTCCCAGTGGCTACCCAATCCCATCAGCACCCCCTACATATGAAGAGACAACAGGAATAAACACTTACCCTCCTTACCCTGCCCCGGAATCTGGGTATGGACCGAACATGAAGAGTATGAATCCTCCTCCGTATCCTTCACAACCTGTTCCAGCTCCTAATCCAAGTAAGTCTGAAATACTGTTCAGTGTTTTATATCTGTAGTTTCCCCTTGGGGCCCTAATCAAGATGCCATACAGGCATGTAGCAATCATGATGCAGAGATATTCCTCCTTAGCCACAAGACTTTTGTCTCACTTCTAGTTCCATGTAATGTACATAGTGGATCTCGCATGTTTTCAAGATATCACTTATAACTGTCTCATCTGACTTTCTACTGCTTAGAAGCCAGGTTTATTTCTAAATCACAAGATACTGTTCCGTTGATTGCAGCAGTGTGGTTTCCTTGTATCTTGTAATTCATAGTGCCCTCAGCACTGAGTGTATTTTAATGCACAGTGTTTTGGTTTAGACATGAAATTTTCTCTTTTTTAACACCTGGGGTAAACAGAGCCTTTCTCTTTGTTTGCTCAGTTACAGTTCAGACTGTGTACGTGCAGCAGCCAGTAACATTTTATGATCGCCCAGTTCAGATGTGCTGCCCCTCCTGTAACAAGATGATAGTGACACGTCTCTCGCACACTTCAGGAGCACTGACCTGGCTGTCATGTGGCAGCCTCTGCCTGCTGGGGTATGTTGATATAACATGTAATGCTCTAATTTGTGATTCTCTCCACGCATGTCATTTCCATCGCTCAAAAAATGGCTGGGGAGCTGATCTCAGAAAGGGGTGGAGCCTATGCCTGCTGGGGCTCTTTCATTACTCTCCCTCGGCCTGAGAAGGAAACTCCCAGTCTTGTTTTTATTAAAATCTGAACATAAAACCTTTTAAACAAGCTAATAATGCAGAGATAAGTTTCCACTGAATGTATGTAAAAAACCCCCTCCCACTCTGAGCAATCATTCAGAATCCCTTTGACCTTTAACACGAGGGAAGAGAAAATCCTGGGCATAACTGTCAGCAGCTTCAATAGATTTATGGTCTTTCCATACCTGCTGGGTTTGGTTAGCTACTCTTCCTGTGAATGGGACACCTCAGGGTTTCAGTGACTCTCACCTATGAAACCCCTGCAGGGTTCACAAGCCCTGCTTAAAAAACAGAATGAAGTACAGTGCCAAACTCTGCATTGCTCTACCTAGCGCTGCACTATCCCATTTTCAGTTTGGCAGCTACTGTACATGGGAAGAATGTTACTTGCCATGAATTGAAGGCAGAACGAAAGATGCTGTTTTATCTTTGCAGGTGCGTAGCTGGTTGCTGTTTCATTCCCTTCTGTATTGATGCCCTCCAGGATGTGGATCACTATTGTCCAAGCTGCCAAGCCCTCCTTGGTACCTACAAGCGTTTGTAGGCGATATCAAATATTGAGTGAAGATGGGTGTCCAAGATCGTTCAGCACCTTTTCAAGCTCTTTCTGAACTTCATTAAGATCTCTGTGCATTGTCATTGCGAATGGATCAAGATTTATCTCACTGTTGTTTTAATAGTAAGAATCTGCTTAGGGGGACTCAGGATTGGTAAGGGGATCTATAGTCTGTCACTTCACAGGCCACTTAGTCAAGCTGGTAGTGACCAAATGTTGTCCCTCTATGGTTTATGCAAAATAGCTGATGGTGTGGGTCCGGTTAATATTAGAAAGTTCCCCGTGTGGATTGGCACCTGTGTCACAGAGACCAAGGTCTGAACTTGCATGCAGGCAAACTTACCTTCTTACGCCTAGAAGTGATGCCTCTGGAAAAGTATTGAAGCGGGTTGGCAGGGGACTGCCTGTGATGGTCCTATTCTGGTCTCCAGTGTAGTCAGTCTGATACCTTTTACATGCACTAAAATTCACTTTAAATTTGTTTTTAAAAATTGCCTTTAAAAGAAACAGAACCAAAAATAGCCTGAAGTTTGGCTTTTCCCTTAGGCTGCTTTACCAAATCCAGCCCACTCAGGCTACCATGTCAGATGGCTTCTCAACATGGTCTCCCAGTTTCCTTGCTGTTTGTGAGTTCAGTCAGACCTTTAACACTGCACAGAGTGGTTTTTTGTGCAGGATTTTTTTTATAAATATATGTATGTGTATTTTTTTTTTTTACTGCTGAGTTATAAATCTGTGAAAATAGCTTTCTAATGGAAATGCTGATAGAGCCATGGCTCTATCAGTGTTGTCTTTACTATAATATAATTACATGAGCCAAATGGTAAATCCTTAAAAAAACAAAAACAAACAAACAAACAAAAAACACCCTCAGGCCTTTAATTTTATAAAGCTTGGATTCCATCTGCATAAATGTTTTTAAAAAAAATCAAAACAAAATAACTTTTTACTTGCTATTGGTGTAATCTGCTCACATCTTTTCATTAAGAAGGTAACTTCTTTTGTTAAGGAGTTTCACTGAGTGAGTGCTAGTTGGATGACTTGTATAGTGATATTTCAAATGAAAGAGAAGTTTCCAAAATGAAATATGGGTAGAATTTCCAGAGACTGATCACAGGAATCGAGGTTTGAGTATCTGAAGGTTGAAGTACTTCTCATGATTGGGGTAGAGCTGTCTGATAGAAACTACAGCCTAACACTGCTCCTTGTGTCAAGTAGAGCATGATTCCACCACTGAAGGTTCAAATGTGTTTGCTGTGATTTGGTTGAATGAGGTCTGTGTAAAAAAGCAACATTAGAAGTTGAGTTTAAATATGAGCTATGATTGTAAAGTTGTATTAACCCATGTAAACAATAAATATTGCAACTATAATTCTTTAAAAAAAAAAAGTCTCTCTAAATATTTAGAATAGAGGTAACTTTTCCCCAAAAACATTGCAACTTTTAACATTGAAGTGCAGTTGCTATTGTACTACAGATACATAGCTGACTTTTATATATTTTTTTCTAAACTGATTATGCTTTTTGTGGTTCAATTTGCAAGTGGTTTTAAGAACTTCTATATTTAGAAAAAGTTTCAGGTCTGATATTTAGCTGCACCACAAGAATTTACCATAGTAGCAGCTAACTGGCAACAGAATAATGGAGTTAGAGCTGAAACTATCTTATGTACGTTACACTCTCTGCATTTATGGTGTTAGCACACATGTAATACACAATCTGTAGACAGAGGTTACCTTAACTCAAGAAAACCAAAGCTTGATGACAGTAGCAATACCCAATAGTGCCAGGAAGCATCAGTAGGGGTGACTTCTGTGGAAAGCAGAAAAGCAGTTTTATGCAAGTATTTAAAGTTTTTGTATTGTAACCTAAATAGAAGAGTCTGCTTTCTGTTTTGCAGTTTGACTGTTTTATTTTTTCCATAAGACTTATTTGCAAAGCTTGCTACATCAGCAGAAGCAACACTACCCTAATAACAAAATATTCTTTTTAAAATATGTGGTTGGGTAAGTTTAATTTTCTGTAGTTTCAGATATGCTGCTTTCCCCAGATATAATCAGTGTCATTATTTTGACTATTTTCACATTTAAAGTAGTTTTTCCTACTGTTTCCCACTGGTACTGGATATATTCACCTATTCTGTGCTGTTTGATTTGCAATATTATACCAATTTATATTAACACTCTGCACACACGTTGTATTGACTGTAACATGCTAATACTAGAGACCTAGAAGCTTGTCCCATGAGGAACTTGAGCTCATTGCAGTTCACTGGAGTGTGGGTCAGCTTGCCCCGCAGCATTTTGCAGGATATGGATCTAAAGCTGCAATTCAGTTGTTAAAATATCTGCAAATTCTGCATTTCAGAATTTGCAGATATTTTAATAATCAGGCTATTGATAGATACTTTACACAAACATTTGTTGATCCTAATTTATAACCTTATATGTGTCACAATGACACATCATGCCTTTATTTTATCCACATCTCAAAATATAATTCTTGGCTCAGTGTTTGTTTTGTTTTTGAGACAGATGGAGCAAAAAAAGCACGTGACACTTCTTATTTAACTCTTCATTCATTTGCCTGATAAGAGGCAGATTTAAATTGTACCTCTGTCTTTGGTCACATCACTCCTTTTCCACATAGGCAACCCTGTTTATTCAACAAACGAACAACAGATACATTGTCAAAGAAGTATTCATCTAAGTTCCCCTATCCCTACATAGTGACGTAATGGAAAACCTAAAGTACTGGCACCACAATATTTACTCATTCTCACAAGGCACAGAATTTGGGTTTTGTTTAGAGAGCGGTTTGCCACATCTCTTTTTGTCCTGTCAGAACCGGAATAAAGCTCATTGCGTGGGAGGATTCTCTGAGCTTGATTTAGGCTTGCTAAACCACCTGCAAAAGCCATCTACTACCCCCTCTATGGCTTTGTTCTGAGCATTGTTCCTCAGATTCTGTTTCTTGTGTATGTAGAGACGTTTTCAATTGAATGGACCAAAACAATTTTCAGTGTCCAAATAAGTGTATCAAGGAAATGCAGGAAATACGTGTGTGTGTGTGTGTGTGTGTGTGTGTGTGTGTGTGTGTGTGTGTGTGTGTGTGTGTGTAGTAGTAA